AGACTTGCAGGAGATTAACTTATATTAACTACAGTTCATTGTACAATATTGTGTGACAATTGGACAAACTTTGCGTCTTTAGTGCACAATTTACATAAAATCGGAAAAAAGATATATAGGAGCTATATCTAAATTCTAACCGATTTTCATGACACTCAACACACATCACTCTAGACCTAATTCACTACGCTATGCCGTGCAAATCGAGCTATATCTAAATCTGGACCGATATTCAGGAAACTCAACACACATCATTCTAGACCTAATTCATTACGTTATGCCAAATTTCGTGCAAATCGATATAAATATATATATATATATATATAGGGATTTTAATACACCATTTACATTAAATCGGACGAAAACATATATATATATATATATATGAGCTATATCTAAATCTGGACCGATATTCAGGAAACTCAACACACATCATTCTAGACCTAATTCATTACACTATGCCAAATTTCGTGCAAATCGAAAGATATATAGGGACTTTGGTACACCATTTACATTAAATCGGACAAAAATATATGTGGGAGCTATATCTAAATCTGGACCGATTTTCAGGAAATCTAACACACATCATTCTAGACCTAATTCAGTACGCTATGCCAAATTTCGTGCAAATCGAAAGAAATATAGGGACTTTGGTACCCCATTTACATTAAATCGGACGAAAATATATATGGGAGCAATATCTAAATCTGAACGGATTTTTCTCAATTTCAAAAGGGTTCGTCCTTGGGCCAATTAAGTGACCTATGGCAAATTTCATCCAATTCGGATCAGAAATGCGACCTGTACTTTACAATTTAACATGGACAGACGGACATGCGTAAATCGACTCAGAAAGTGATTCTATCGTCATAAAAATTTATAATTAGGTTTAGTTCTGGCCAAAGACGCAGTTGTATATAAATTTGCTAAGTGCATAGTTTAGATTATATCGCGCATATACGAATTTGTTATGTTGTACATTGTCAACCAATAAGGTTTCATCAGTACTTTTTATACCCTCCACCAGCAACGTACACAGGATTTCATATCGGGGGGGGGGGGGGGGGGGGCCCGGTAGTACAAAATGAAAAAATTCGCTGTTGCAAACATACATTTACTGTGAAAAAAATTCATTTCGGGGGGCCCGGCCCCCAGGGCCGCCCCCCTGCGTTCGTCCCTGCCCTCCACCATAGGTTGGGGTAGAGTGTACATTAAATTTGTCATTCCGTTTTCAACACTTCCAAATATTCACCGGAGACCCCATAAATTATATATCACAATATTTAAGTTAGAGATTTTTTGTCCCAAGTTGACATCTACATATTTCGTATATAAATTATATATACGGATTACTGTTCAGTGACTTATACTAAACTTCGATGGAGAATTTTGTCGTTGGTACCATCGTTCTGAAATGACATCTAGTGAGAAGAAATTGTATAAACTCAGAATAAGATCAGTTTTAACCCTAAAATAAGTTTTCCTATTTGTAAGATTTTTGGTGTTAAGACTGATTTTCTAGATTTGGTCTTGGGACCTGCGAGGGACTTGCTTTACTCCTCGCCAAGGATGATGCTGATCAATTTATTAACTCAATGGAGCGGGGGGAGCGAACGACAACGAGAGCTCCCAAGCAGTCAATGGTGTAAGTGCCGTGTTGGTGAAAATATAATGACAAGAGAAGACATAGCAAAGCAATAAAACGCAAGTGATTATTATTCTATCTCATTGGTTTTATTGGCGATGTTTTTTTTCGTACAACAAATAAATTACCTTTTGTAATTTGGTTTGGTGCCGTCAGAGGCCTGTTAGTGCTAACACGTAGACTTTAGCTATTCTTGACGGTTAGTAAGCAAGTGGGTCGCAGAGAATCGTTGGGATCTTAATGATCTTCGTTAGGTACAGCTACAACTGCATACACATATTCCAGTGAGAGAGTTTTAAGCAAGGGGAGCTTACCGCCAACAACTCTTGCCCGTTGATATATATGCTTTGCCGAGGCAATACCCGAGCTGTCAATCAGCATCCGTGATCGACTGGGCTTGGGAGGTTGTAGGCCAACGTATCAAACATATACAGGTATATTCTGAGACTCATAGTAAAACTTCATGGCGAACATTTTTTACAGGTAAGGGGGCCGAAGAGAACCCTTCAGCAATTCTATTGTGAGTTGACATAATAAACAAAAATATCCCTCACATTAATATCAGTAGTATGCCAAAAACATTATATACCTAAAATTCAAGGGTTTCGAGAAATCCTAATCCGAATCTCATAATTATGGAAGGTAGTCTAATTTGAGAAATTTACAATGGCAACCCTTTTTAATTTGTAACAGCCTTACCAAGGTGTATTTAATAAAGTGTATGCATCACAGCCTTACCTAAAATTCAACTAGCTCGTTCGACGTTTTTCACCACAAAAGTAGAACACATGTATTTAATAAAGGACATAAATCCCCGGCCAAATTATGGAAATTGTGTTGACCGTATAAAATCTTTCCAATGGCGTATTTAACCTCCGCCGAGGACTGTGACGAGCACCAATGATCCGATTCCAATATAGTCTAACATAATCTCCTCGATTTTATGAGTAACTGAGTTTTATGGACAGATTTCCACACATGACATAAAATATGTTTACTAGGTTTCCTTTCCGTCCGCCTCTATGAATGTAGTTTTCTTGAATTTGTATTATTAAGTGTCGTACATAATTTATTGCGCTTCGTACAAAAATAATCACTTTCTCACCTTTATAGAGTTTGTTTGACGTCCGTATTACCCAAATACGCAGGGTAACACGGAATAGAATTCAACTAGCTCCTTCGACGTTTTTCATCACAAAAGTATTTATATGAATGTTACCGAAATACGTCGAACGTACAAAATTTAAAGTTGAACAATTTCAACTTTGACAGAACGTATTTTGAAATTTTTCTTTGGTTGCAAATAAAAACAATACATTCAGGAAATATACATAAAATGGTTAAATTAATTTAATAAATTTTCAATTTTGTTTTGAGATTTGTATTATTGAAGATGAGGATTCGACGTATTTGGCTAATACGGCCGTACACAACATTTTGCCATAGTGGGGAAGTTGAACATTTTTGCACGCCCCGTCGGACAATAGGTAACGTTGTAACATATATAAATTTAAATAAAACAAAAAAATAAATTCCATAAAACAAATTATATTATATTTTCTTACGCTGCACATTGTTCTCAAGATGTGAATATTATATATATTCAGTAGTGTTGGCGGTTTATTTGGGATACCATTTGTATTTTGTTTTTGCAAAATAGTCAGGCTGAATCCCAGTTTCTTGTTTTTATAAAAAACAACTATTTATTAATGGGGAATGTATGGCATTGTTTGCCGAGGGGTAAGGCAGGGAAGACTATAGTTTCGGATCACGCCACTGATCCTCATCAGTTCCCTTAGTTTTTTTTTGTTGGGATATTCTCCCCAGAAGCAATTGCTTCTATACAAAAAACCTTTCATACACAAATGTCTCTTGTAACAAAGCGATGTACTTAGCTGACCAACGACATAAACTGCATGAGAATTTTATTTATATTTATATATATATGTTTTAGGTTTTAGAGGCAGGGAACTTAAAAATATTAATAAATATAAATAATCTAGCAGTGTTTGCCACTGCGTACATTTCGAAGGAAGTTTTTTCATTAAAATTTTGAAAACTGAATGTTATCACAGCCCTACCTAAAATTCGACGTTTTTCACCACAAAAGTATGTATTCATATGGATGTTACCGAAATACGTCGACATGCGAATTTTCAAAATAGAAAAAAAATCAACTATGACAGAACGTATTTTTGTTTTTTCACTTGATGAAAATAAGAAACAAAACATAAAGGAAATATGAATATGAAATAATTGGTGACATTTTACAATTACTCAAGGTTATTCCTCGATTTTGTTAAGCTCGCTATGAGATATGAACTCGACGTATTTAGGTAATGCAACCGTACAAAACATTTCGCCATAGTGGGGAAGTTGAATATTTTGTACGCCTCGTTGGAAACATATGACTGCATGAGACTACCTTGTATAATTATGCCATGTCCGAATCTCTTGAAGTGGTGTAATATTAAACAAATATTGAATTTATATAAATATTGTCTATGTTATTTCATTAATTTTATGTTAAGATAATCATATGATATTTTTATACTGAAAAAACCAAGTGGATACTTTTGACTGTGACTGACTGTAACTATGTTTTGATATAACGAACTTCGTCTTTAACGAGCTTTTTGGCTTGGACCGTACTAGTTCACTATAACCGCACTTGACTGTAATTTAAACTATTATATTTTTCTTCTTGGAAAAAATATGAGGAAAACTATGGGGAATCGGATAAAACAGTTTTTTTTGCTCATGTTTGCAAACAAAAATACGAAAAACTCTATGTGAGCATTAACATTAACGACTATAAATCGGAGCACCATATGGTTGTTCTAATCCTTATGCAAGCGTTGATGGCAATTGTATGTTTATATGACATTCTTAACTGGAAATGGCTAAATTAGAGGAATAGTATGGAAGTCAAAGAATGCGATTCGATAGATTTTCATTCATGTTTTTCAAGTGTTCTCTGCAAATTAAATAATACTACATTTTCCAAATAAATCAAATTTACGACTATAATTTGGCCAAATCTCTTGAATAAAAAGTTTATAAAAGAACGGCATTTTGGTTTGAGCTCTCTTACAGAAATAATGTACAGGAACGGGTTTCAAGTAAAAATTTGCAAAACATGTTGAAGTGACAAATTCTTTCAGGTTCCGGAACGAACCAATTTATTACTCAAAATGGTCTCGTGTAGACGTATACGTTGTATTCCAAAAAAAAAAAAAGCGTAAAAGCGTTCATTTACTTCCAAAATTCAGGTATATACTGTTCCGATTAGGTGTTGTTTTGATTTTGAAGGATTGTCACTTGTTTGGACATTTTATTGGATTTCCGTTCCATTATGTGTTATCCACAGTTTGGCCAGATCAAAAGTAAGTTTACAGCTAAAACAGCATTAAAATAAAGCTAAAAAAGGCTAAAAATATATAAAAATGTCATAAAATAACGCTAAATTTAAAAACGTTTGTATATTAAAATTGTTATTCCGTTTGCAACACATATAATGTTACCTCGACTTTTCAATCGAATTTGTAATAATATGACATTTTGGTTTCCCATATAATAACAAATGCTCGTTCCAAAAATGATCAATATTTCGATGTTTCCGGCTGAATTAGGCGACCTTTGGTGTGGTGCTCATATGATATAGTTTCTTGTTATAATAATATAGTTAACAAATTAATTTATGTCTGTTTAACCCAGTATATATAAAACCTAAATATTTTGTTAAAAAATACTGTTTTTTAATAGACTCTAGTATTGACAGGAAGCTATGAGAGTACAAGATACACCATTAAAATTAAATAATTTTTAAAAATTCTCTGAGATAACGGTTGTTTTCGAGCGACGGTATTGGCACATTTGGCGTTCTTTTAAAGAATCCATTACACCGGCAGTTTTACACGCAATTCCTAAAAGGATACGTAGAATATATAATTTTTAGTATACCTATGAAGGAAGGTATAGAAAAGCTTTTGCCTATAAAATTCAATGTAAAAACATAGTTTTTCTATTGGGCTCTGATGCTACATTTATTTAAATACTACTCAAGTGGTTTTCAATGCTAAATTGGTTATAGCAAAATGCCGAAAAAATGCCAAAGCAAAATTTTGCGGCTAAAAATAAAATGCTAAATTAAACAGCAAATTATGGGAGAAATTAATTTTAAGAAAATTTAACAACTTCCCGATTATGTATATAAAATTAAATAAAAATTTATTAGTTTCACGTCAATTGTTTTATTACCTGCTATATCTAGATGTTGTCCACTAGCAAACAAAGATTTGGATTTTATATCTCATACTCAAATATAAAATATATATTTTTCTGATTATCAATGTTTAGACCGGACACAACAAACGAAACATCTAAAAAATAAAATGTTATCTTATGTTATGCACTTTTCAATGAATATATGAGTACAAAAATATATGGGCATTATTGCCAATTTTTTAATATTCCATTTTCAAAAAATCAGCTTTTTTGTTTTTGTGGCACATCAATGATTTTTGGTACACATATAGAGAAAAATGTTCTGACTCCGAAACCGTTCGCGATCAATTTTTTGGTTGATGCGCGCAAAAGTTATCGAGGCTTTAATTTTGGGCATAAGAAAAAAATCTTAAAATTGCGCCGTTTATTATATTTACCAAAAACGTTGATATATATCTTCCTCCGTACAATAAGAATATGAATATATTATAATAATCGCGAAAAAGTTGCACATCTTCGCGAAATATGAGAAAAATAATAAAAATATAGGAGATTACGTCAATATTTTCATTATATTAATGACATACACACACCTAAAAATAATTTAAAAATATCTACATAATCTAAACACCATGATTAATCAAATGATATCAAAATCACACAAGTCCGTGTAGCGGTTTGTAAATTACACCGACAACAAAACAGGATATTGAGGAAAAATATTTGTTTTTGGTTCGAAGAAATAATGTCATCATATTAATTTTTTAATTTTATACAAGAAATTTCAGAAAAAAAATGTTGGTCCATTTTACCCGAATTTAGCCGAAAAAATTGCCATATATGAAAATATTCACTTCATGTGTATAAGTATACACCTTGCGGATTGTACCAAGACCCTTCCGATAAATCTTGGGGTTCTGTAAGTAGAAATAAATCTTAAAATAAAACTATATTATGAAATATACATTTTAAATTGCGTCTAAATCGCGTGATTATCAAAATTATTTGATGCGCATGCGGTTTCAAGGAAGTACTGAAGTTCATCTTCTATTCCATGTATATTTTGCGAAATTTCATTTGACGGCTAAGATGTGCCACATGTTGCTTTGAACTACCCAAAACCTCGTAAAACGCGAATAATTTCCGAAAACTCCATATGCCATTAACGCGCATCCGATTTCGGTGTGCACCCTAAAAAAATACATCGATCTATACCGATTTCAATGTGGTCCATTAAGAACCATGGATGTGCCAGCTCACAACATTTTTGAGATAAATTGGGTACATCTCTCTTTCGGCTGAAGTTTTTAAAGTTCTCTTTTCGAAAAAGATCAAAATCCGTATGAGGTCATTTATTGAAGCGGAAATGATCCACAGAGAACGCAAATAAATCCACGATATTTTCAAAAACATTTTTTGCCAAATTTCGTGTTTTTGGAAGGCCAGTCCCCGCCGTTCTAGTAGATGGATTTTCACGAAGAAGATTTTATATCATCCGAAACGTAAAAAACCTTATTGATCGCGGGTACCCATATCATTCAGTTGACAGATCTAAAAATTTGACCCGAAAAATAGGTTCTTTAGAAATTTGATCGCACAAAATTCTCAACTTCGGATGAGTATTACTCTGAAGCTCTGCATACTACATACACAAAATACATATCAAATTACGCAGATTCGCGACTACAATAATTTTATAATCGATTTTTAGAAATTCCTGTTTGCGTATTAAAGATAGAAGTAAAATTAAAAAAACACTCAAAATCGAGCTTAAAAATGTCAGCATCATTTAAAGGTAGATGCAGTTACAATTTTGAAAAATGATACATAAGGGGCGTAGTCCTCATTTTGTTGGCTTCTAGTTTTACTTTGACACGAAGACCGTGAAATGAGTGGCTCAATCACAAATCGATATAGAACATAAAAACTGGTTCGCCTCAACCTGTTTTTACACATTTTTTTACATTAAAGTAGGCACAGCTTCCACCAAAATAAAGTTTGGAGGTCAATATCATGAACAGTTTGCAACGACAGATCAATTAACCCAAAACTATTCACCTTTTTTCATATACTTAAGTAATTCTCGAGTTATAAAGGGGTGAACCTCCGCTTCAGCTATGTTAAAAAATTGGCAATATTGCCCATATACCATACCAAATTGAGTATACAGTCCATATTATTGAAATCGTTTTGTATTCCGATTATATGAATGGCAATGTTATTATTATTTCTATTTTTTCTAAAAAGAGTAATATAGAATAACTTAATATAATAATTTAATCAAAATTTCATTGGCTTTTCTCGAAATTTAAGATTTTATTTTCTGCAAGAAAATCGCCCGGATGAAACGATGATATGAATTCAGACTTTGTTCATTAAATTTCTGAACAGAATTTGTTTTCTACGGGCAAGCAAAAACAACAAAAAATGGAGCATAAAGAGTTAAACGACCACATTATATTGTCATTTTTGGGAATTTAGCTTTTGAAGGTGTTTAATTCAGCATGTCGTTGCTAATAACAAAAATAAATAAATCATCAATTTGTTTGTAATTTCTTTATTTGTTTCAGTATTTGGCGTACTGCGTAGCTTAGACTGTCTAAAATATCGCTTGGATCCAGAGGCTTATGCCGATGAAGCTCACACCATAAGCGAACGAGATGGATCACTTCTGGTGGCGTCCACAAAGAAACACTACACCAACAATCAGTACTGCGTAGAAAAAATACGCAATGCAACGTGGGCCGATCAAAAGGTAAACAACTGAACTATCTATCGGCTTCTTGTAATTTTGATGCGAATAAAAACCTTACATTAGTTGTACACATTTCTTTGCTTCGATTCGAAAGTTGTGGGAAATGATCGGATACGCTTTAGGTTGTACACCATTGGCCTATTGATATCGTGTTCATTCTATGCGGCAACCTTAGTGGTCTACTTATCGATTGCACGCCTCCGAAATTTGCCGGGCAAAATATTAATTTGCCTAGTCAGCAGCCTATTTACAGCATATCTGGGGATAGCTCTAGGCCAGCTGATGCCAACTCCAAATGATACAGTTTGTTTTGCGTCTGGTAAGTATAGTTAAATTTATTTATCTGATTTGAAATACAACTGGAAACTTTGAAAACTGATTTTCGAATAAAATTTCGGCATTTATAACAAACAAAAAAATGTTTGAAAAATATTGAAATTTACAAATTTGATTTGTTCGATTTTAACGGAGATTTTCACAAACTACTTGCAATAGTCAACAATATCCATAAATCATTTGAAATAAAAAATCACATGCCAAGACGATATAAGTCATTTTCAAAACTCATTGCATTCGAAATGCACGAATGAATACTTTAAATAAATGCCTTTATTAAATTTATTTTTAATTTTTTTCTTATTAGGATTCTTTATATATTTTTGTCTGATGGCTGCTTTTTCTTGGATGAACGTCACCTGTTTTGATATCTGGCAGACTTTCGGGTAAGATAAAAATTAATATTAATTCACATTTATATACACTTAAATATATATCCGCATGAATATATTGGGTGATAATATAGCGTTATTAATTAAATTGATTCCCTTTCTAATGCCGACCAAGTTCAATTATTTGTTGGAATGCAATGGTCATGCCGTCTATGTTTTTATTCATTATCTGTAACTGTTGGCATCAAATAAATTCTTATATTTATTGCGATATATTAATTATCATATAGATATAAAGAAATATTTTCAATGGGCGTACGATTATTTTAAAACCAAATAGGTTTTTAGATGTTTTCCATTGAAAATATTTTGATTTGAGTGAATATGTATGTGTTTACAAAATCTTGAATTTATGAATAAACCAGTAAGCGGAGATGTATAGTCTAGCTGGCCGATCACATGATACCCTACACAATGAACATTAACTTTCGGAAAAACGTAATCCGTGACGTAGGGAAAATGTCGGGATATTTTTTTAAGCAAGTTTTCTAGCATTGAGAAGTTTAAAGAATTATATAGAGTTGTCCGTTTCGTGGTTTCAAAAGTAAATAAATAAAATGCATTTAAAATATTGTTAGCATGATATATCTTTCTTATTATAAAGTTTTACCGTTTACATTACGTCAGAATCACTACATCACTTAAATGGCCTCCAGGCGAAGCAATCATTGATTATTTTAATATAATTTTCGATCATTTTTTGACACACAGGCATAACATGACGAATGTTCGTTTCTAAGTGCTTGAGAATTAAAGTTTTATCTGCATAGCCATAGTTCAAAAAAGGTCTAATGGGCCCCGGCGAGTAGTTATGAGGCCTGGAAATATCTCTTGTAATTAAGGCATATTCGCTCGAGTTGTGTGGCATCGTCATGTTGAAACAACAATTTCTCCGAGTCATATTCTTCAGTAGTCCTGATAAAAGTCCTAATTTTCCTTATCAAGTTTTTAATTAAATGGTGTGCTCAGAAAATAGTTTGACCTCACATTAAAAATAGTATTGACTTTAAGAGGATGTAATTAGAAAACATAAATTATTGTAAGCAATTTGTCATAATATTATGATATTTCCAGTTCTCAATTTTGCACAAGAACACTCCCATAATATACGTATTCACATTCGCCGTTCCAGTACGTAATTAATTATGAATTTACTTCGTACTGACTTGGCCACCACTATTCAATTGCTGCCATTTTTAGCAATATTTATTTAATTACCAAAATATTGAAGTTTTTTTTACATATCCCACCGTGTCCTGTGTATATTAACGACAATAATGTTAGCAATTTGCCCCACATTAAATTTATGGGAATGCCATTCGAATGAACATTTGACCACGAAACACTTAACATTATTGTGGCACTTTGTCATCATCTGCCAGCGAGGCGTCAACATTTTGCACCGTTGTCGGGGGGACGCCTGCAATCATCGATAATCTCAAAATAAACAACGTCATGTTGATGATATAGATATGAGGATGATGATATATTTGTACGAATGTCAACTTATTGGCAAATAACGACAATCCCCAATTACGCGGGAGGGATGAAGTTCTGTTATGGGTAATTAAATAAATTTTATTTGTTCGATTTATTTTTGGCCGGAGCCCACTTCGGACGGCTGTTAAAATCGCTCACCAAACAAGGATATGGTGTCGTTAATGGATGTTAAATTCTCAAACAATTAGTAGCATTGAATTGCGTCGGGGGTGATTAATAGAACTGTTGCGTTAGTGTTTTAAAAGTGACATCAAATGTCATTAATTAAAAATAATAATAAACGAAAAGGTTTAATGAATATAAATTATAGAATTAATTTCGGATATATACTCGTATGCATAAAAAATGTGCACATTTATATATTTATATGTAAATATATATTACAATATTTGTGTGATTGTGATTATTATTTGATAGTCACAATGGTTTATCACATCATCAAATATTCACATGATTGTAAGTTTTGTTGATATAATTCGAACCTACACTGATTAAAGAATGTCTCTACAAAATTTCAAGTGAAAATCTCAAGAACTCTTGAAGATATATCCGATTTATTGTGTCAGCATCAAGTTACGGCTGAAGGGCTTCTCAAACTTAAAACGCGTTTTCTCTAAACATTTTTTGCGAATGGCGGGCACGATAACTCAAAAACTAACAATCCAATCGGTTCCAAATTTTTTTCTTCTCTTTTAAATCTTCAAATATATATGTGCAAAGTTACACATATATTGATTTACCAGCCCATTGAAAATCTTGAAAAATTAAAATCGAGAATGGAGGGGGTTCCCTTAAATTTCGAATGTAATCTTTTGAATAACATATTAAAAGTTTAAAATGCAAATGAAATATGTGTAATAATATAGGAAATTGCACCATTATTTTAATTATTTTAAAGACATAGTATATGCACCTAAAATTAATCAAAATTAAATTACAGAAGCATATTGAGAATACATAATTGTCAACATTGTCCATATCTCTACTAAACTCAAAAACTACTGCACCGATTTTGACCAAATTTTATGTACAGGCTCTAAGGGGCGTGAGGAGTGTTAATTTTAAGATCGTTTGACAAATGGCGCGCTATATAATTTCTATGCGTTTTGCCCGATTAGAGATTGGGTGCTTAAACGACGTGCGTAGCGCGTGGAAGTCCAACCAAAAAATGAATAACTTTTCAAATTGAAGTACAAATAATTTAAATCTACTTATAAAAATTATGTAAAAAACGTATAGTAGATCATCAATTTGAGAACGGCGGGACCGGTTTGACTAAAAATTTCTTTCAGTTATCTGTAATTGAATTGGGAGGGTTTTTATAAAAGAAAATGTTGAGAAAAATAGGCGAAAAAAATTGAAAACACACATTTTCAGGAACGGCTGGGACATATACCATGAAGTGATACTATACCGACAATTTACAGAGATGTTCCTTACCCTACTTGAAATACCGAATTAAATGCAATTTAAAGGGTATTTGTTACTACTACTATGCAACATATGGACAACAGATAAGGAGGCTTAAAAACACATAATAATGGCAAGCCAATTTTTCTATGTTATAAAACCAACACATGACATATACCCACACGATACCTGAATCATTTGCTGAAACTTAAACGTATTCTAAATAGGAATCGAAACCAGCTATATTTGTGGAAAAATGTTAATACATACACATACGTTGTTATGTTTAGGATATACTAGTTATGGAGGATATTATTGAAACTGTTCTTATATTTGGAAAGTATATATATCTAAATTTGAATCCTACTTGGAGACAATTGCGCATTAGATGCTCTAAGTGTCTATGTGCCTTTATTGTTCCTCAAATATATTTTTCATGATGTGAAAAATATTTCCATTGAGAACTGCACTGCACCAATTTGACTCACATTTTCCTACGTTTGTTTTTAATTGCAGTGGGAAGAGTTTTACCAAAGAAAATTTTGAGAAAAACATAAAAAATTCGCAGATTGAAGTAATCGAATGTTGTGTTACTTACACCTTTTATAACTCGAAAACGTCTGCACAAATTTTAATGATTCAAAGGACTTATGAATCGTATGTGATCAAAATAGGAATAGTAATTACGCCAACCATACTAAATTACCTTTTGATGTGAGAGTAGTTAGATCCAAACTTGACCTTCTCCTGAAAAAAGTTGGGTGGAATAAGTTCGACCAATTGATAAACTGGAATACCACACATACTGACATAATTTTATATTTAACAATATTACTTAATATTTTGAGGTATCAGTAAATCATAGTTTACCGTCGTGAGGAAAATACTATGCGTATTTTTTATTGCGGAAATTTTACATAAATTAAATGGTAAATATTTTCTGAAATATATATTTTAATGGATTCGTTAATTTTTACCAAACCTAAATTGAAAAAAAACAACATTTGCCGGGTCTGCTAGTATTTATATAAATTATTATACATATTGTTTGTTATGTAAACCTAAATATTTATTTCATTTTAGATCGGCAAAAAAGAAACACAACTTCAAAAGTAATCAGAACAAGCGTTTCTTACTTTATTCACTCTACGGATGGGGTTTACCAACGGTGATAACAGTTGTGACGGTGACTTTAACTAAAACAGAGGTTTTAAGCGAAAATATTCGACCCAATTTCGGACATGGCAGATGTTGGTTCACATGTAAGTGCATTAGGACAACAAATAGTTGGGCAAAATATGATCGGTATTAATCGAATTGTTTTTTGTTCATGTTATCAGATGATTCAGCTGGCTCCGCCAACCTATTATTTTTCTCCGGACCCGTTGGCATACTCTTCCTGATCAATCTTATACTTTTCATTCTCACCCTGCGCTACTGTAATCGGGTCAAACGAGAAATATTCCGAATGCAAAGTTCAAATGTGGAAAAACCAATAATGCGTCGGCGATTCTTCGTGGACAAGGCCAGATTTGCAATGAATACTAAACTATTTGTCGTCATGGGCATAACGTGGTTCCTGGAGTTGCTGAGTATAGTCTTTTATGACCACAAAAAGCTTTTCTTTTGGGTGATAAGTGATTCGTTCAATGTGCTATTGGGCGTATCGGTGTTCTTTATATTTGTGTTTAAAAAGCGTGTGTGGCACTCGGTTCTGGAGAGGATTGGTAAGTAACAATTCGAAATATTGACAAATATATATGTACGCACACGACGTATGTTATCAATGTAATTTATTTGTACTTTTAGGACTAAGACAAGTTGATTCATTAAAGAATGGTCCCACCGGAACCATGTCAACATATACCCATAATAATATATCAATGAATCGCCTTAACGCCATTGATGGCAACGCCTCACTTTTGAGTCCGAATGCAGCGCGACGTGTGCCAACAATTTGAATGTCTTGAATGTCTCGCTACGCTTTTGTAAATAAACACTGGAAACCTCATACTCGTACTTAAGTATAACTCTCATGTTTGTTTTTAAATTGCACAATAGTTTAGTTGTTTTTATATTATTTTGAGTCATATATAAATTATTTAAAATAAAACGCTTCATGTTTTCATTTCATTTCCAAAATACCTCCTGACATTCTTTCGCTTCAACATAAGTCCATTCAACATTAATTTGACGATAATATGAATATGAGACAATCATATGTATGTGTATCTTCGAACAGTACTGTAACAAACACTTCGAATATTTAAAATCCATGCCACACAACTTAAATACGATCACGAAAAAACGTTACAAAACGTATATACAACAATAACGTCTGCTGTATTCAGTATTGAAATTGAAGTAATATAAAGATTTATTTACAACTCCGATGCAGCTAAAATTCTAATACGTATATATATACGAGAGATAAAAAAACGTTTCTGTATTCATATTATTATTTATATCGTACACACGTATGTATTTCATTTAAATTGCATTAGAAATATTATTGCATTCATAAACTCCCAGTATTATATTTATTATTTGAATGGAACTATCCCTCTCATGTAATTTCATTTGAATGTTAGCTATTACATCTCCTCTAGTCCTTTGAATACGAATCAAAAATAAAGAAAGCTTTGAAAATGTTTGCCTTTCAAAAAATAAATCTTAAAATTATAAATTTGTTTTTTTTTGGTAAGTAAGAAGGTTTAATTTTTATCAAATAATTATCTCATAATCACCCTTCTGGTGCATCATGGAGAGTCCGAAGGATAACAGTGAACCAAATAATGGAAATAGGGCTATCACAGATGTTGATACTCCAATCGTTGTGAAATTGTCATTAATCGAACTTCTTAATTTGTAAAAACATCCCTGGAATGATAAAATTTAAATGTTACCTTGGACAGACTTCCAAAACTTGTACTTTTCATTGTGAGTACTTACCACCTCAAATAGTCTGCTCGCATCCACTTTGGAAGATTCAAGTCGATGTCGCTTGTAACACGAATTGGGTACGGCTGGTTCTGGCCAATCCAAAAAACTATCATTACCACAACAGTGTAACTGTAATTAAAACAATAATATTTGATTTATCACGTTGGTTTATATATAAAGTGAGATCCACAAACGCTAGTAAATTCCGAATAAGGAAACACAAAGGCTTAAATCTAGTTTAGTAAAAACGATCAGATTTTTCTGAAAATTTTTCCAGAGGTTGATATTTTTAACCTAATTATGGGGATATATTTTTTCTTAGGAGACGTACCGGGGTATTTGAACCGGAAATTCAGGTACGAATACCCGGTTCTTCGTATCCGATACAAAATGTGTATAATTTTAATGTTTTTTTCCTTGTTATTGTAGGGTTCGAAGGCCCATATCTCTCGATCCACAACAACGTTTTAGTCTATCTTTTGATTCAGAATTGATAATGGTCTATAATGGATCCAAGTTCGACTTTTAGGGAGTTTACCCATTTTGTATTAACCGGATCCGTAGAACCGGTTACCCGTACCCGAACTTCCGATCAGAAAAATCTGATAGTTTTTACTAAACTAGAGTTGTTCCGGCGTTTTACATATAGCCAAAAGTATCAATGTTATAAAAGACCAATCGGATCCTCTTTTGATTCAGACGGAATGCCTGAAGCAAGACATTCACATAATGGAAATATCTCTGATACGGGATAGAGACTTATGGGCTAATTTAAAACTAGCAAAAATGGTCTCTCATAACTTTTGTTTGCATTCAGGGATTTCAGCTAGCAGGAGAACGGGACCGGACCGGGCCTTTTTACCATTGCTCGCGACACGATCTTGCACGAGTCATATGGCTACCGGGTCACACAAGTTTCAAAGCAGGGATAGAAAATAAACAATTTAAAACGATGTTAAGTTCGGCCCAGCTAAACTTTTATTATGACATTCAAAATATGTAAAATTAATGGGGGCTCCAAGAAGAAAACTCATGTTATGATGGGACCTTGAATATACCAAAAAAGACGCGAGAAAAAGAGAATTATCTTATGGGGGTCAAGCTTTTTATGGAGCTATACCAAAACGGTGATCAATATTGACCACTTTGGGTACTGAAATTTTATTTAGTAAAGGAACCCACACATCATGTACTAGCAATGCCTGTGCAAAATTTCAGATTTCTATCTTAAATATTGCGATCTCTATCGTGATTTCAACAGACGGACAAACATACATACGGACATGCGTAAACTGACAAAGAATTCTTTTCTGATCAAGAATATATACACTTTGTGGGATCTCCGGCAAATATTTCGAGGTGTTGCAAACGTAATGACAAATTTAATATAAAAATGTGAAATGGTAGTAAAATGGTATTTTTAATATATTTGTACATCTTTTCAAGAAAACGCAAACAAAAATTTAATTAGTTTCATAGAGATCGATTTTCAGGATATTGCCACATAATATCTGACAAACATATCCGGTTACAATGTATTGCAACTAATTAACTTTTGTATTTTTCTACCATTTTGTCAATAGGAATACAGCAATCACGTCAATATCTTTATCTGCAAGGCTTCTGGCAATCAAAATCATAATAGATTGTAATACAAAAAAATATCATATATTAAAATATGATTGAAATTGTACTGTAATAGTCATGGGGGTACTTCAGTTCTTTTTTGAGTAAAAAGGTACTGAAAAAAAGTATTTTGTATTGAATTGTCCATCCCTGATCTATGGGCAACAACTCACCAGAAATGCTGTAGGTCAGTGACACTTTGATGACAAATCATCTCTTTAAATTAAAATATTGCTCTAGAACCTGTACTTTCACAACTTCGAGAGGTTGTTTCTTTTTTCTAATTTTGATTTTTAATGTCATTGACAACTTCATAAATTACTTACATTCTTTTGAATAAAGTCCATACCTGCCGTTGTATTCCGTTCATCATTATAGCTTTTCATTTCCTTCGCAATGGCATCGGATACACCTTCCAATAATTCGCCCTTATAGGTGTGGACATAAATCGAGAGAGCGATTAACGAAAACAGCGCCATTATCAGAAAACCGCCGTACTAATGAACCAAAGAAACCCCAAGCAAAAGTTAATCGTTTAAATATGAACTCGATTACCGTTAATGTGGCAGTTCAATAGACTTTAAATTCCGATTTCTACTTACGAACACCAGCATAGCTGAATCGATCTTCACAATGCACGAACAGGCGAGTGAACTAGCGAACACAATAATAGCGCCAATTATAATAACAACCATGGGGGCAATATCCGAATACGATGGATTGATCTTCAAATACCCCTGATAGTCGGTCTGCAGCCACACTCCAATCCATATTAACGATAATCCAGACAGCTAAATAAGAAAACAAATCAGAGATCCAACGTGAATTTCATTGACATTTTAGATTATTTTTTTTTCACTTTTACCCAAAATGCCATATTGAAAAGTAAAAGCAGCGCCCTGATACAAGGATATGAAATAAAGCGGCCATTGTCTCTGGTATAGGTTTTCGGCATTTTTTTCAGATTGCAGCCACCACAGCTTACTGTGAATATTAATATTCAGAAATCGTGCTGATCCTTACTTCACACCAGCGACAGATTGAGAAGCACTTGAAGACTGTTTTCTTACAACTGCACTTCAATTAAGCGAAGCCACTCACTTGGTGCCATCGGTTATCTGCTAAAGAACGCTTCCGATAAGAACAGTAGCGTTTATTCTCTGCAAAAATATGCGGTGCATTCAAATGAATCTACACCAATATGGGTAATCATTCATATCGCAAATAAAAAAACATGCATAAATATGTATATGCGAATTATTTTGAAAAACGTAGTGCAAACAAAAATACTGCTTGAAAAAATATATTTATGTATATACACATACATATACACCCTCAACCTATCTCATATGTTTTATAAGCTTATCCAGTCGTTTGTACGTTGTTCCATATCTCGATGTATAGATTTAATCTCATATTGGTTTTACAATTTTCTTTTTCAATTTGGACTCTATGTAGGGGAGATACCGGAAGGAGTAGATCGATCGGCCACATATTCGGATTTGATCCAGGCTTAGTAAAAATATAGATGAACTTGTAGATTTACAAGTGTTTACAATTGGAAAGTTGGAATCTGGACTGAGACTGCGGAGTACTGCATTTTTTCTGCAAATAATATAGAAACAAATGTCCCACCCCTTTTCGCCATCAGGGAGGCGAAATGCCATCTGTGATCCTTACACAAATTCCATCCCAACCTATGATATTTGACTAAACTAAGACCCTTAGATATAAGACTAAACTAAAACCCTATTATGGATCGCCTATTAATGAATGATGTTTTTCACACACGATAGTTAAAAAAAACGATATTAAAAATGTTGGCCATGCAACATGCGATTGATTCTCTCTTAAATAATTTGAAGAAAAATTTACATTTACATAGATATTCGTAGTATGAAGTGTGGTATTCCACAGAAACAGAATCTTGTACTTTTAGAATCGTTTTTGTAATGGATTTTATCGAAAATTACACATTTTCGTTAAATTGTAATTTACAATATTTTCATAATTGTATCCATAAAATTTAATGCGACCCAATTGAATGTACACATCACATCAACAACGTGGGATAACAGTCAAAATGTTTGTAAACAAATAAAAACAAACACTCATTCGCATAAAAAAAAACAACAACAGCAACATATAAACACCCATATCTATATAAAAGTAAGTATGCCATTTTCGATTTTTAAAAATAACAACAGCAGCAGACAAGAAATACAAAAAGTCACTGATTTCGTTCGTGTTTACTTTTGCGTGACCTGATAAGGTAGGACATTCATGTCCAGACTATTTTTAGAGTCCACAGCGAACCCTGTAATGCCAAAGACGTTGTTTATCACCGAATTATCCACGAACATTTGTATGAACATCAATCGGAATAGGGTAGCAACTGACAAAAATACGAAATGATAAAA